TTACAGAAACAGCTTTTTCCCGCTGCCGTCACTAAACTTACCCGTGTATGTGTGGACGGAGGCTATTTTTGAAAACTGCAGTTTTGAAAAATATCTCTGTCCACATGTAAACGCTAAAAATGCATTTAAACACTGTCAAGAACATTAGTGTAGAAGCCTGGGAGGGAAACAGTAAACAGGGTTTCATGCAAACTGTAACTACTTCTGAAAGGTTTGTTTTTTTTGGAAAGGCAGCTAATTCTGTGTTACTTTTCAAGAGCCTTTATATTTTAAATGTTAATAACCAAAAACAGTGTTTTGGCTGATGTAGACTCACAACTTAGGAATAAAATGCATACAGCATGAATACATTTAAATTTAAAATGTATTCAAACCCGACGTTGGTGTTGAATGAAGTTCACTCTGATGGATCTAAATGGAGGGACAGTAACTGTGTGTATGTTTATTTCCTAATACGAAGCTTTTTTTGTTTACACATTTTATAGTTTAATCTGCTATTTAACATTTTCTATCGTGTATACAGAGAATAGTTTCTATTACTTTGTTCAGATACCTGCCTTTGAATATAACACATATATCATTATTCCAAAACCTCACACACAAAACTGCAAATCCACACTTCAAGCCAAACCTCACACAAAGATTACAAGTAAAAAGCTCGTTAGCTCTTCCTTTGCAGACACTGACTCATCCCACTGAATATGTGCAGCGAAGACTCGAGTAAAAACGTAAACAGCTAAAGTCAACACAGGCGCGCAGACAGGACGTTACGACACGGGGCGGCATGTCAGTGACAGTGAAACGAGAGCGTGTGGAAAAACTGAGTGTGTGAGCGGGAAAGGCAGCGAGCGGGAAGGGTTAACACGGCGTGTGGGTGGCAGAGGTCACAGAGGTCACAGCTGGAGCTGCAGCTACTCTTACCTCTGTGTCGTCTCCTTCGTAGGGCTCGTTGCAATCTCCGCTGCCCTCGTTGCTGTCCTCTCCTTCCTCTCCCATCTCTCCGTCATCATCATCCTCCTCGTCATCTTCCTCCTCCTCGTCTTCATCTTCTTCATCCTCGTCATCGTAGTCCTGGAAAACGGAAAATTTGTAAGACGGATTTTCACCGTTTTACACGTCGTCTTTAAAAAAAATGGAACAAAACTGCCGTACCTGCTCTTCGTCTTCGTCTTCCTCCTCTTCTTGTTCTTCGTCACTCTCTGTGTCCGTTACGATAACGATCACTTCCTGCTGCAGTTGTTGTGTGGTCTCGCTTTGGCTCAGGGTAACTTCTTGCTCCATTGTAAGGGACTGAGAGGCTGAGCCTTCATCTCCATCCTCCAGCGTGGAAAACGCCTCGGTCTGCGGGGCGGAAAAATGGCCGCCATTGACAACGCAAAACATCACGCAAACTAGATATCAGCACACAATCCCTGCATGAATGTGACAACTAGGGATGCAAC